TTCCCCCCTCACAAATCCTTCCTTTAATCAGATTCTGGGGGTCTCTGTTCCCCTGTTCTCGCTTGGCCTTTTTTTGTTTCTCATCGCCATTCCAAATCCTGACTCTTCGCTTTCGTGTTTTTGTTTTCAATTTCAAATTGAACCCTAAGAGTGACTTGGGCGGAAGAATTCGGACGGATATGTGTTGATTGTTGATTGATTCTGTCTCTTTTTTGACTGGGGATTTTTTAGAATCGTTTTCGGAACGGGATTTCAGATCTTCGGTATTGAGTGTTTTGGTCGTTTGGGTGTTTGGGTGTTTGGATTCAAATCTGGGGTCAAAGCACGCTGACTAGGTTTTCCGGAATAGCAGATTATATGTTCGATTACGCTTCTTGGTGTTTTGTTGAATCAAATGAGTTCAGGACAGGGTTCTGGGATGAGTCTGCTTACTGTTTAGACGAAAAGGGTGGCTTTGGTTTGCTTTCTTCATTTCGTTTATGCTGGTAAAGTGCCTGCTATGATTACTGCTTCCTCCGGTTTACATGGGAAAAATGGAGTGCTTTCTGGATTGATAGAATTGTAGTAGCGCTCAACAACTTTTAGAGGCCAAACAAAAGAGCGTTTTACTTTTTTGTTTTACTTTATAGGTTTATATGAATTATGATCAAACAGATATTTAGTAAGCTTCCCCGAAAATCATCGAAGAACGCTGAGAGTAGGGAACATGGTGGAGGCCATACGGCACCTTCTACTGCTTGTGCTTCTGCCAGTTCAAGAAGTAATGATTTAGCATCTGGCAAGTCAGCAAATTTGGTTTCTTCTTTTCCAGCTACGAACCCTGTCCAAGATGTTGGGAAAAATCATGGTAGCAAGGCTAATAAAGGTGCAAATACAAAACTGAATGGAATTCCCACATCTTCGTATGAGCCATTGCCCGGGTTTAGGGAAGTTCCAAACTCTGAAAAGCAGAATTTGTTTGTTAAGAAACTGAATCTATGCTGCTTTTTGTTCGACTTCAGTGACCCAACAAAGCACCTTAAAGAGAAGGAGATCAAGCGACAAACTTTGTTGGAGATTGTGGATTATGTAACTTCTGTCAATAGCAAGTTTACGGAAATTGTCATTCAGGAAGTCATAAAAATGGTCTCCCTTAATTTATTCAGAACAATGAGCCCTCAATCACGTGAGAACAAAATTGTGGAAGGTTTTGATTTGGAGGAGGAGGAGCCTTCCATGGATCCTGCATGGCCTCATTTGCAAATTGTTTATGAATTCTTTCTCAGATTTGTGGCCTCACCTGAGATGGATGCGAAATTGGCTAAAAGATACATCGATCATTCATTCATTCTGAAACTGCTGGATTTGTTTGACTCTGAAGATCCTAGAGAAAGAGAATACTTAAAAACTATTCTGCACCGCATCTATGGGAAGTTTATGGTACACCGACCCTTTATTAGAAAAGTCATAAATAACATATTTTATCGATTTATTTTTGAGACAGAAAAGCATAATGGGATTGCTGAACTCTTGGAAATTTTGGGAAGTATCATCAATGGGTTCGCTCTTCCTCTTAAAGAAGAGCACAAGTTATTCCTTATTCGTGCTTTGATCCCTTTGCATAAACCAAAATGCCTAGCTATGTACCATCAGCAGTTATCATACTGCATCACACAATTTGTCGAGAAAGATTGCAAGCTTGCTGATACAGTCATAAGAGGTTTATTGAAGTATTGGCCAGTTACAAATAGTTCAAAAGAAGTAATGTTCCTCAGTGAGTTGGAAGAAGTATTAGAAGCTACTCAACTTCCAGAGTTTCAGCGCTGCATGGTACCCCTGTTTCGCCGGATTGCTCGGTGTCTAAACTGTCCACATTTTCAGGTACTAGTTGCTTTTATTGATTGCTTGGATTTCACCTGTCGATATTTGTAAGCTTGTAATTGGTAAGCAGGAAGTTTGAATGTTTAAGGATGTGAATTAGGTAATACTGCTGTGAGAAGATCGTCTATTTCCTCATTTTTGTTATTTTCCATAGTTCCAATAAACTTTTCCGCTAGAAAAACATCTCACTCTGGGGACTTGTGGCATTACAACTCCTGTGTATTTGGCATGTGGAGCCTAGAATGAAGTATTTGATTTAGAGATGTTGCCTAGGGGTGTGAACTTCCATGTGTTCTTGAATCTTGAATCTTGAATCCTACGCTAATGCAGCCTTTGCTTTCCCAGGTAGCAGAAAGGGCGCTATTCTTGTGGAATAATGATCACATTGAAAATTTGATCAAGGAAAACCGCAAGATCATACTGCCCATAATCTTTCCAGCTCTGGAAAAGAATGCCAGAAGTCACTGGAATCAGGCTGTTCATAGCTTGACTTTGAATGTCCGGAAGATATTTTATGATCTTGATCCTGATCTTCTCGAGGAATGCTTAGTCAAGTTTCAGGAAGACGAATTGAAGGAAAATGAGGTAAGAGCAAGACAAGAAGCCACATGGAAACGTCTGGAGGAGCTTGCTGCGAAGAAGGCTGCAAGTAATGAAGCCGTGCTTGTTTCTCATAAATTACCCACTGGAACAGCATCAGTTTAGTGAGAGTAAGAGATATTTACTTCCATTTACCCGACCTTTGTTGATTGTGATGAAGTATGCTGTAGTAGCATATAGTCTAGGTCAAATATCCATGGATCGTTGATTTGTCACCTGCTATATGATAATATCTTGTGGGGTTCTTTTCTGTCCAATAACCGTAGTCCATTATGCAAATTCTTTTACTTTTCATGCGTGCTGTTCTTAAATCCTTCATGTAGCCGGTCCATGCCTTACACAGATTATCGAGCAGTATGCTATTCTAGATGTTTGGCGGCCTGCACATATAATAATGCCTTTACATTTGCATGTTTGTTCAGCATTACACAGTTTTTACCGTCTGTTTATACCAAGAGTGAGATGTTTTATAGGTTGATGAAGTAGAAAACTCCAGTCCTTGGTGAAAGGTAATGCCAGATTCATATGGCTTCCTGTTTGATATTAGTGTAGAACAACATTAGACTACCTAGTGACGTTTCTTGTAGGATGATAAGTTAACTAATCTGGTTGGCCTTATAAAGCTAACCGCAGTTTCCTCCCCCGTCCTTCCTACCAGAATGGGGTGGGAAGTCTTGACGTAGCAGCCGAGCCGGGTATTTTATAAGTGATTCGTTGAGTCTTTAAAACTTTGCTTCTTAGTTTTAAAATGGATATATATTTCTTCAAACACTATTTAAAGCAAATTTCCTGGATAAGAAGAATCAAATGGAGCAGATCCATTATCTTTGTTCTTTTTTCCTTTCACAGGAAGAATATATTGAAGAAATATACTGAAAGGTCATCAAAGAAGAATAAAACTCAAGACATTCAAATCTAGCATGCTTCTAGGCCAAATTTCAACTGACACTAAGGGGAAGGGGGAAGGGGGAAGGGGGAAGGGGGAAGGGTTCTTTCTTCTCCATAAATTAGAACTAAGCATCTCCTACTCTTTCTTCATGGAGTCTTTGAGTTGTCCTCTCTTTCTGATGCCAAGGCAAAACTTCAGGCGCCAACCATCGACAACAGACTCCGGCAACGAGTACGCCAAACCCCAGAGAAGTTGATGAGGCCAATGTGGTGTGCAGCGAGGCTCATACCCAATCCACCAAAGAGCTGCAGCTGCATATCCATCGGTCGAGGGAACGAAGAAGGATGATCTCCGAATTGATGCCATCTTAGTAGCAACATACAACGGAACCTGCATCAACCACAAGATACAGCTCAAAAAGTGCTTTTTAACATTGTTTCAGACTGGTTGGCAGGATACTAATTTTTACCTGGCATTGCACATCTATTCCACTCTTCTTGTACTCCACATATAAACACCTTGAGAATTGATCAATGTACCTGAAATTGCAATACTCAGATCTTCCAGCAACAGCCAACATATTATAAGGGAATTATACATAGCTTCATGGAGGGGTCTTACGCTTTGGTAGCGGCATACACAGCATATAAGGGATCTGAAGGAATGACAATGGCAGCACCAGAACCAATGTTAACTATGGCGCCTCTCTTCCTCTTCAACATTCCAGGCAGAACAGCTTGAGTCACCTTCGTGGTGCCTTCAACATTGACCTTGATTAAGTTCTTCAGAAGCTCCTCATCCACCTCGTGAAAAAACCTCCCGTACGGATACGAAACCCCAACGTTGTTTATCAAAACCCCAACATCCAACCCTTCAATAGCTTCACTCATCCTCTTAATCCCTTCTGAAACATCGCCGGAGAAATCAACGACGACGTTCTTTACTTGGATGCCGCCATATTTAGCGAGGATTGAATCGGAAACGTCCTTGAGTTTCTCAGGGTTCCGACCCACCAAAATCAGATTGAGGCCTTTGCGAGCCAATTGAAAGGCAAAAGCCTTGCCGATTCCATCAGTGGGTCCGGTGACGAGCGCCCAGGAGCCGTATCTGTTGAGGTTCTTTGGGGGTCTGAGGAAATTGACATAGATCCATTTCAGAAGAATTACCGAGAGTTTGAGAGCGGAGAGAGAACCCAATGCGAAGAGGAAGCAAACCCAGAAGGGCTGGGATTTAAGGTGCTCAATGCAATGAAGCTCCTCCATGTTTGAATGGGGAAGATTTTGGGCGTAGAAACTTGGGTTTTAAAGGGTTTAGAGCGTTTGATTTATGAAAACGGATGATGGGTCGGTGAAGTAGATGAGCAAACTCCCTCAAAATTAAAACTTTTCCACTGCCCAACCAATTGGTTAAACAAAATCCCACCGGCGCCTCCTCCTCTCCGTACTTCAATTCTTCAATATTTGATGGTTTAGTTATTTAAAAGAAGAAAAGTCAACTTGGAATGGGACCCAAAGAGTTTTTATTAAAAAGACTTAATTACTAAAACAGACTTAATTTGTGATTAACGAGAGTTTAATTCAGGAAGGAAACATAATTAATGAAAATGATGGTTTTTGGAGTAATTTTGAAAAGGGGGAAAACCAACTGCTCGTGTTGAATTTCGGTAGTGGAAACATAAACAACAATTTTGACATTTTACACATAAATTGGGAAAAGGAGGAAGAGAGCATCGCTTTCTCAGACGCCGCTGTCCCTTCCTTATCGGTTCTTCTTCTTCTTCTTCTTCTTCTTCTTCTTCTTCTGGGTGTTCTGTAAACACGTTCTTGAAGAAAAGTATTTGGTGGGTATATTATTTTTGGGGGTTTCGAAGTTGTGGGATTATGTATTATCGGCTATCGAGGTCTTCTTGTAAGGATTCTCTGAAAGTCCTCGAAGAAGATGTAAATCGCGCCAATGCTCTGTGAGAATCCCTTTTCCCTTCACTTTTTTATCTTCCCAGTTCATAGAAATTTCGATCGGTTTAGTGGTTTTGGTGAAATTATGGTGGGAAACTATGGTGGGTTTGCAGGGCTGTTGCAATTCCAAGAGCCAAACATGGTTCATATCTCCAAATGAAATTGGTTTACAGTCAATTAGCTCCACTGTTTCTGTTTTTGATGCAATGGGTGGATTGTTCTTGCACATGTGTTCTTCCCAGATACCTAAATTTCTTCCACATACTTGTTTACAAGGCGCGTCTCTCTTTTCTTCACTTCTTTAATGTGGCTTTGTTTTTTATGTTTATGTGTCTTAGTTTGTTCTGTCAAATGATGTTGTTCAGGTTTACACAGATGGAAGACCCAACCTGTCAGCCCATGGAAGAAAGGCCACTCTCAAAGATTTTTATGGTACATTTTCTTGCCTTCAAACACTCTGTTTTGGAGTTTTGTTTCCCAAACACTTTCACACACATCCATGATTGTAGGAGCATGAACTCATAGCGAGTACATATTGTCCTCTTTTTGAGCATTTCCTTTCCGTCTTCCCCTCAAAGTTTTAAAAACACGACTGATAGGGAGAGGTTTCTACATTCTTATAAGAAATGTTTCGTTCCCCTCTTCAACCGACGTAGGATCTCACATTATGCCCCGTGTTTGATATCATTAGGCTTGGTCTATTGTGGTATTGATATTGTATGAGTTTGAGTATATGAGCTTGTTTTGAGTCCAACAAACGTGCTACTTCAGCTGTGATATTGCCATCCCTTCAACGGCTCCAAGCGAACGCCAGGGAGTTGGATAACGCTAAAGAGAAGCGTGTGGGAGTCGAAGGAGATGGAAAGCTCTCCAATGGTGATGTAGAGAGAGAAGAAGAATGTGGGATTTGCTTAGAAGCTTCCACAAAGATGGTGTTGCCAAACTGCTGCCATTCAATGTGCATCAAATGCTACCACAATTGGTAACTACACATACATACAAACCTTCCTAGATCATCACCATCGGGCTCTGGGCTCGACTGCGTTAATGTCTTTGCTTGTGAATGATTTGTAGGAACACGAGATCGGAGTCGTGCCCGTTTTGTCGGGGGAGCTTGAAGAGGATCAAATCAGAGGATTTGTGGGTGCTAACTTGCAGTGAAGATGTGGTTGACACTGAAAAAGTCTCCAAGGAAGATCTGTCACGGTTCTATCTCTATATAAGCAGCCTGCCAAAGGAATATCCAGACGCCCTTTTCTTAGTTTATTATGAATACTTGATTTGAACCAAACTAAACCAATTTCTGTACAGATCCCTTCATAGCCGACCGTCAAATGTAAACACTGAGTTGGGTGTCCAAAACTTGCTCCTTTTTATGAAATGAAATGAAATGGTTTACAACTAAATCACCATCTTTAGTTACACTTTTCGACTAGTCGTCCACTTATATACAACGAAAAAGCCGAAAGAAAGTATCTAATGGAATTATGCTACGTTGAGTTCGTTCATACATCGTATTTGGGAGACTTAGGCAAAACCACACGTATAGAGAAGACTCTTGTGCGACTCGAACACCATAACTTAGTTCCTTTCTCTAAACTCAAGCTGAGACCAAGAGAGCAAGCACACCCTTTTTCTCTAAACTCAAGCTGAGACCAAGAGAGCAAGCACACCCTTTTTCTCTGAACTCAAGCTGAGACCAAGAGAGCAAGCACACCCTTTTTCTCTAAACTCAAGCTGAGACCAAGAGAGCAAGCACACCCTTAGTCAACCGGTAGTCTTTAATTATTAGGTAGTTGGATAAAAAGGTAGAATACATATAATATATATTAAACTTGAAAGGGAAAATTAAGGGAATAATTAAAGAGGTAAGGGCATATGATAGGAAGAGCATTAGGCAAAACCATATTCCAACTTCACATAAACTAATATAAAGCCGATCCACTTGGAGGAAGGCTCATCCTCAAAATTTCCTAATTTTAATTATTATTTTCTATATTTATATTTTAATTGAGACAGAATTTGTTAGTGGGCATTTCCTTTTTGGCGTATTAAAACATTAATAAAATATATATTTTTAAAAAAATTAAGTAAACATCCCAATTAATTTCTATAATATTTTAATTTTATTTAAATAAAAAAGAAAAAGCTTTTTGCATAATTCACGCATTGAATTAATAGTAATGGGAGTGAGATTAGTTTAAATGTGATATGATTAGAGGTTTTGAAGAACATTAGTTTCAATAATCATTCAACACAATCATGACCACCACACACCAATCTCATCATCAAATTCGAAACCCCTACTCCCAATTTGCTTCTCACACCCAACAATCACAAACCAATGGGTTCAACACACTCCATCTTTTTGGGTTCATATTTAATAAGTTAGTAAGGATATTGTTGATAATCTCCATAATCTTTGGTTAGTTATGTAGTTAATTAAGGTTAAGAAAGAGTAAATATATTATAATACATGGAAGTGAGGGGAGAGGAGGTTTGATTAAGCTTTCCCAAGTACATAATTAATTATATAAAGCTGAGTTATTGGGCATCCACACTGACAAACAGACAAGCAAAGCAAAGCAAGCAATGGGGTTGTCTTAAAAAGGTTCCACTTTTAATATTTTAAGAGGTTGTTGAAAGAGTATGTGATAAGAACCAAGTTGTGAGTATTCCTCAACTTTCTTGAATTGGGTATCACTAAGAATGGTGAGAAGGGAAGAAAAGTTGGAAGGATTCTCAGCGTTTTGACTTATCTTGAATGCAACACTGTTGGTGTTCTTCAGGTGCCTTTCTGTGCTGTGCTGCCCAATTTCAGCACTTCTCTTCTGAACCCAACCTTTTCTTGTCTTTGTCTTTGCCTTTGCCTTTGCCTTTGCCTTTGCCTTTGCCTTTGCCTTTGCCTTTGCCTTTGCCTTTTAAATGGACTCCACGTGCCTGCACTACCAACTTTTTTCTTCTTTATATCTCTATGAACTTACTGCTACTGTTTTCTCCATTTCTGTTTCAATAAAAGAACAAACAGACAACTTCTTCTCTGTTCCCGCTTTTGATTCACCTCCAAAATTACGACTTAGGGACTAACAACCACAAATATTTTAGTATGGTTGCCGTTTTCATGCTCGACACGTATCGAACACTTGTCGGTACAATGTGAGTTCAACGTTTGACTGACACATCTAGTAACCTTGTTAAGGATATAAAAATGCATAAGTTTATCAACTTTCGAGTTTGGTACTGTGAGATCCCACGTCGGTTGGAGAGGGGAACAAAGCATTCCTTACCATATGATATGCTTGTTAGGTCAAGAAGTTGGCTGTGAAGCTATTCATCAGCCAATGCTATTGTCTTTTGGGCATCTGTGGAGGGCAGTTCAGAAGGGTTATAAGCTGTCACAGGCAACCCAAGGAAGGTATGGAGGGACATTTTGTATATATAGTAAAGAATAAAAGTACAAAAAGTTGGGTTAAAGAAATGGTGAAGTTCATAACATGGAAAAGTCCCTCTGCTGCAGATGACTTGAAGAAAAGAAAGAAAAGAAAAAGAAAAAAAAGTTGGATTTCCCACTTGGAGTGCAAATGTGCAAAAGGGAATTTAAGTTGAGCAGATAAAAAGGGGTTCCCACCTTCATTTGTTGGATTGTTGCTCCTACTGTTCATTATAACTGCTCCTCTCCCCCTATGCTTCCTAATATATTTCCATTTGTTTTTAATGCTTTTATTCCTTTTCCTGCACTCTCTTTGATTCATTATTATATAGTCATTTCAATGCTTTTAATATATATATATAAGCAGGTCCCTTGTAAAGATGCCTTTTCTCTCCCAGCTCGTATTCTTTCACCTCTTGCATCTGCTGAGGGAGTTACCTTTCCCTTATTTCGTTTCACTGTGTTTTTCTTGCTTATTTGTAAATATATATAACATTCTATGAATCTTTTGAAGGGAACAGTTGGGCACTTGGATTCATTGGTTCCTCCTTCCCTCTCTCTGTAAACTTGGGGCCATTTTTTAAAACCCAGACAGTTCTGAGAATTTTAAGGCTCTTTTCTAGAAACCTGTTGTTACAGACTTACTGTTCATTTTCTCCTCTCTCATCCTCCTCCACAGCTTCATCATCATGGAAAATGGCTTCTCTTCGCCTCGAAGCGATGTGTTTCCTGTCGGTCTTCGTGTTCTTGTTGTTGATGATGATCCAACATGGCTCAAAATCCTGGAAAAGATGCTCAAAAAGTGCTCTTATGAAGGTTGATTTACAAAAACAAGTCTCTCTCTCTCTCTCTCTCTCTCTCTCTCTCCCTCTCCCTCTGTTAATTTGTTGCTTGATTTTGAGCTGTTAGTACTACTACAAGTTTTGAGGCTGTGAATTGTTTTGTTTAAAGCTGGTTTGGCAGATTAATCAAAAGTTCATCTGCAACTGCAAAGTTTCTCATATGGTTCTGTGGTTTCTTTATCCTTTTCCTGCCATTTTTCAAATAAAGAAAAAATCTGGGCTTGTTTTCTTCTACTGAGCTTTCCCTGGCTCTATATTTTGCTGCTGCTGCTGCTTTGAAATTAAACACTGTTTCTTAATTCAAACCAAGATTTGTTTCTTTGTTAACGTTTTCCCTCTTCATTCACTTGAGTTTTCAATCATGGCTGATGCACTTTGGCTTTCAGAGAAAGGAATTGAGTTAATCACTTTTATGAGATCTATTCCAGCTAAAGCTTGGAAGTGAAACTGAAAATGAGTGATAGTTCAGTTGAATCAGATGAACTTCCTTCAAAACCAGGCTGAAACACTTTACTCACACTCTGTGTTGCAGTGACTACATGTTGTCTGGCAAGGGAGGCTCTAAGCCTGCTAAGGGAGAGAAAAGATGGATACGACATCGTAATCAGCGACGTAAACATGCCCGACATGGACGGTTTTAAACTCCTCGAGCATGTAGGATTAGAAATGGACCTACCAGTTATCAGTCAGTTCTCTGCCTCCCAACCTTCAAGATTGTTTTGAAATCATTTAATGTTGTCTTTTTAGCAGAGCCCTCATTTCTTATGTATAAGTTCGTCTTCCTCCATGCAGTGATGTCAGTTGATGGAGAAACAAGCAGAGTAATGAAAGGGGTTCAACACGGGGCTTGTGATTATCTTCTAAAGCCAATACGAATGAAAGAACTTAGGAATATATGGCAGCATGTACTTCGAAAGAAGATTCAAGAGGGAAGAGATATTGAAGGCCATGATGTTTTTGAAGGCCTTCAAATCCTTAGAAATGGATCAGATAGGTATGATGATAGCCAGTTCCTTAGAGTAGAGGAGCTCTTTTCAGTGAGGAAAAGAAAAGATGTTGATAAGTACGAGGAAAAAGAGTTTGGTGAGACATGTTCTACAAAGAAAGCCAGAGTTGTTTGGTCGGTTGATCTGCACCAGAAATTTGTTGAAGCAGTAAACCAGATAGGCTTTGACAGTAAGTATACAATACTCTTAAACTTCCCCTCCTAAAACTTTAAAGATAATGATTCTTAATGTCTAATTTGGCAGAAGTTGGCCCTAAGAAGATTCTTGATCTGATGAATGTCCCATGGCTAACAAGGGAAAATGTAGCTAGCCATTTGCAGGTTTGGGATATCTACCTTCGTTCTTGCTACTCATCTAGCTTAAAGGGATGTCCTTCTGTTTCTGGCTGAGCACTTCTTTTGTGTATGCAGAAGTATCGCCTCTATTTGAGTCGACTGCAGAAAGAAAATGATCCAAAAGCTTGCTTTGTTGTTGGGATGAAACAGACCGATTCGAGTTTGAAGGATGGAGATGGAAACTTCAGCGTTTGTAGCTCGTTAGGCGTGCCACAAACTGATGTCACGAATAGCAGCTTCAGTTTTTTGGGTGATAACTTTCTTCACAACGTGGATTCCATAGGATGTGAAGCTGATAGGAAAAGGGTTGTTCAAGAACAAACATCAGAGCCAAAAAGAGCTGCTGCTACTGAACTGATAAAGACACGGTGTACCCACATGAAATTCAACAACTCGTTTGCCTCTGTTGAATCTGAAGGCAAGTTAGTAGCATGTTACCCTTGGGTTGAAGCTCCACAGATGAAGCTCAAACAAGAAAGCAAGCCACATCAAGTTCAAATCAACCAACTACCATCGGTTTCGTCCATTAGTTCTGGACGGTCAGCAACAGAGAAAGACAAAGGAAGCTCCATTGAAAGTAAGGACTGTAGCCAACAAATGGTCCATCTAAACCCACCAAAACCTCCAACTGATTCGTTTTCTGGCAAGGCTAAGAGTTTCAATGAGATCAATGACCATTTTGAGCCTATTTCAACTGCTACTGCTCCATTGGGCGTGAAAAACCAGAATGTGATCGATCTTAGCAGCATTTCAACTGATTTAGGAAGTGGGTTTCCTTTTTCAAGCTTTGATGAAGATTTGCAGGGCTATTTGATTCAAGATGGTTGTTACCCAAAGAACCTTGAACAGATTATAGAGTTTCCAGATTATGGTGATCCAGGCATCTTCACTGAAGGTCCGACTCACCTTTATGATGCAATGAGGTTTGGCTATGAGTATTCCTATGACCCAACTGAGTATCCAGTGATAGATGAAGGCCTATTCATCGCATGATTATGCTATTTTACATACCCTTGCATGCAGGGGAAAATGATATCTTTTCTAATAAGTGAGTTCCTTAACTTAATGGATTGAATATTACCTTCCCAAACTATTGGGATTTGGATTTTTATATGGGTATATAGAAGTAGCAACCGAGAACCTTTTCAGAACCAAATAAGCATTAAGTTTACTAAATAAGTGTTTAAATTGACGGGTCAACGACTCGAGTCAACTTTGTGGTCATTTAACAGCAGCTCCTCGGGAAAAATATAGAAAACTTAGTTTCTGACAAGACAAAATCAAGGCCAATGCAATACGTGAAAGAATGAAGAGTGTATTTCCACTGGGTCAGAGAAACAAGATTTGTGAACAAAAAGCATCGGTGAACTTGTGTACATTACCGTGTATAAAGCTCCCTAATTTTTCTTCTAACAGTTTTGGATACAAAAAACATTGCTTATCCACCGTTCTATATACCTTTCAATGCCCTCGGGTTTAAGATGTTCTTCGTGCTGCGACGCTTTCCGGTAAAGCGACCACTCTAGCCTCAAGTTTTAACCCTGAAAATGTGGATTAAGGAATCAATCTACCCCTCTGAAACTCTTTTCTCAAGATTAAAAATCCCAACAACTGTAAGGATCTTTGTTAGCGGGAGGGCAAAGGAGCGGTAATATTCTCTCTTAATGTCAACGGCAGAAAAGCGAAGAGAAGTATCAACGAAATAATACTCACTTGGTCTTCTCCGCCGAGTTCTCGTCTGACTCCTCACCTTCAAGTGAGCCTAGTGTAGTGAGTTTGCCGAATGATTCCTTTGCATCTCCGAAGAAGTCTTTAACTTTATCAAGAACCGTCTTCAGCTGATCTTGTGTTGGAAGCTAAGATTGATTCAGAAATAAACTGTGTAAGTAAACTAGCTGATCTAGTCGCAAATCTCACTGATCGAAACAAGTTACAAAGGAAAAGATTACCACCACATGGTGTTCAAGGATTTTCCTTTCCAATCCTTATAAAATCTCAAGAACAATAGAAGAGAACAAATAATCCATTCTTACCTCAATTACATCTGTGGTAGACAGTGCGGATCTCACATTGCCATTTTCCTGCATGAAAGTATATAATTAACATTACGACAACAAATTTCTGTTCATCCATTCCGAAGTACAGTATAAAATATTGTCCTCATGAATCATAAAGAAAGGTTTGGAAACATTACAACAATCTTGTAGCCATATCTGAATTCTGTTGCTGACCGCAACACGCGAAACTGTTTAAATGCTGTCTTCTGTATCTCCTTTTCATCCTGTTCATTGGTAGATCGAGTGTTAGTATCTTAAAGAGTGTTTAGAATCAATTGTCGTTCAAGGCTTGAGAATTGAGTAATTTTGCAAAATCAAAGTGACGAGAAAGTGTAGAATTAGCTGTTTTCTCAATGGATAGAGATTGTGGCAATCATTTCCTATATTAACAATCAACGTTAAGTCAGATTTTCAGACAAATTCTAAATCCTATGGATTGCAACTTTCTCCAAACCGACAAGAGCTCTCAAACATCCAGAAATCTTGTACGTGCTGAAATCAACATAATGCAGTGTTCCTTCCCTTCTTTATCTCTTTTAAAGCACTCTCTTATCAAGGTACAAGCTTTAATGTTCCTTTTATCGCCAATACAAAGTTTTAACTAGAACAATATCATTGTATTCACCATTGAAATTAAAAGGTTTAACTTTAACTCATTTTATTCGAAAGGGCACAGGCGGCTTAATACAAGACGTAAAGAACAGGATAATGGAGCAAAATATGGATGATAATTAAAGCTTACACGGTATATAACAGCAGCAAGATTTCTAGCCAGAGTGTCTTTGTAGATATACTTCCCAAGAAAGTTATCTTTTGCTGCAACCATGATTTTGGCGGTTGTGCCGCCATTTATAAGACTCAAGGGGTACCATAGATAGACCTGCGTAATCAACGTATAAGGGGACGATGTTATTGGATGATATTTCCAATAATTGTGTGCAATATATTGAAGTTTCAGATTTTGAGTTAATAATGAGGTACTACTCTTGATGCCATATTTCAAGATAATTTAGAATGTAATGTATTCAATGAGTGGCCAAGAACACAGTATAGAAAGGAAAAGTAAAAAGGATAGAGAACAAACATTGGCCATACGGATGAAGATAACGAATTTAGGGTTTCCATCGTCTTCAATCTTGGGTAGCGGGGGAGGCGCAGCCCTTTGAAACCGACGAGCTTGCATCCCTTTTTTGCCTTTCGCCTCCACCACAAGAAGAGCGTGGCGATTCCTCCGCTCAGGCTTCTGCATCGTCCTCGCGGAGAAGAGCGAGTGGCGGAGCAGCGCATCTTGGTGTAGCTTGGAAGTCGAAAGGGGGAGTCGAACGAGAGCGTTGAGGGACATGGCAACCTCCATTTGTGTGATCGGATTTGGTCTGAGCTGGAGGAGTTGAAAGTGGATACGGGCAGAGTAATAGTTGAAGTTAAGAGGATGGTTCTTCTCCTTCAATCTTATCCACTAGTATCACTGTGGGGCCACTAATCTCCACCCACACGCTTGGCACAATCTCACGCATGTAAGCACTTTTAATTTACTCCTCTAATTTCTCATATTTTTCTTTTATTAAATTAACCTGGTTTCTTAATTATAAACTCATGGTCATTCCCTAAATTATTAATGGGACTTTCATTCAATAGTTTATATATTATAATAATTTTAATAGATGATTAAAAATGATATATCTATGATAATAAAGATTTATCAAGATGATTATTATTGTTGTGAAATCTCACATCGATTTGAGAGAGGAACGAGTACTAACGAAGACACTGGAACTCTGAATGAGATGAAGAGGAGAAGAAAACATTTGTTGTGTAATTTTTATTTTTATTTTTTAGTATTAAATCCAGTAAAAAAAGATAGAAGAAGATTCAGGAGGGGTTTAGATAGAACAAGAAGTTATAAATGAAGGGCAACCGTTTATTTGAATGAATCAAATTTGGTGAGGTTATGTATTAATAAAGTTAGATGTAAATACAAATATGTATTAATTGAGGGGGCCGTAAAAAATGCGGAATATGAGGGAGGATGACATAATTCGCATTAACATCTTCCTCAACATGCATGCATTTACTATATATATATATCTATATAATAAAATTCAATCGATTTCAGTTTCATCAAAAGAACAAAAATAATAAGGAGACCATGAAGCTTGAAATTGACATAATCTCAGAAGATTTAATCAAACCTGCTACTCCCACGCCTCCCCATCTCCGCCGTTACCCCCTTTCCTTCATCGATCAAATCACCGTTCACATTTATGCTCCCGCCCTCTACTTCTACCAACCCAACCGCGCCGGAGATCCTGATTTCGCCATCGATTTCCGGAACCGCCTCCGGAGCACTCTCTCCGTCGTCCTCTCCCACTACCCTCCACTCGCCGGCCGCCCAAACTACGACTCCGCCTTTGTCGACTGCAATGACACGGGGGCCTTGTTTCGGGAAGCGCGAGTGAATACAAAACTCGCTGACGTGGTGGAATATGCTCGCCCGGACGATCTGAACCGGCTGTTCCCGGTCGAGTTGGACCAGTTCAATGAAGAGCTGATGGCGGTTCAGTTCACGGAGTTTGCGTGCGGTGGAGTGGCGGTGGCGTCGTGCATTTCTCACAAGATTGCGGATGCGATGACGCTGTTTTCGCTGAATAATAACTGGGCGGCGATGGCGCGTGGAGTGAAGGGGGTTTTCAAACCGCATATGGAAGGGGCTAAGTTGTTTCCGGCGAAAACGATGACGTATGATACGGCGAAGACGATTCTGAGAAACAGAGTGGCGAGGAGGTTCGTGTTTGAGGGTTCGAAAGTGGAGGCGATTCGCGAGAAATACGGAGAGAATGGCGCTGCGCACCGACCTTCACGAGTCGAGTCATTAACGGCTTTTATGTACGGACGGTTTCTTGCGGCTCTTAAAGATGGGTCTTCTTCTCAAGTTCCGAGCGACAGGACATGTCTAGTGAACTACACAGTGAATCTGCGGTCAAAAATGGAGCCGCCACTTCCGGGCGACGCCTTCGGGAACTACTATTTCAACGCGATGATCTTCCCGTCCCCGGACATTCTGAACGACCCGTACTGCTACGGTCTAGTGGACCGGCTGAGAGAAGAAACCAACAAGCTGAACGCCCAGACAGTGAAGTACATTCTGAATGAAGACCAGAGTCTGATGGAGAGCGTGGAGGAGATTGCTTCTAAGTTCGTGAAGGGAGAGATGATTTCGTGTGCGTTCACTAGCATCTGCCGGTTTCCCCTTTATGACGTGGATTTCGGGTGGGGCCGCCCTGTGTGGGTGACTTTTCCGGCGCTGTGGTTCAAGAATCTGGTGACGTTTTTGGATTCCAAAGAGGACGGCGGCATTGATGCGATTGTTCACCTTGAGGAACCCCACATGAAGAAGCTCGAAGCTGATCAACTCTTCCTTCAATATGCTACTCCAACTCCTACTGCCCCGCCCACCCCATAAATCAAACTACCCTTTTCTTTCTTCTCCCAATCTTTATTTCCCTGTATAAGTCTTCTAATCTATCTCCAACTCTGTTTCTTAAATAAGAATACTTCTCTCAGCTTCATGTTAAATGTAATAACTTAATAGTGTGATTTTATAAAACTTTATGTAACCATATTTTATTATAACAAAAATATCTAAATTAATTTATTTGATTATAAACATGATAACTTTCACACAAAATAGGGTGGATTAAACAAACATTCTCGGTTTAAATAGTTGGATAACCACTGTAACTCAATTTTTTCACCTCTTAAAATGACTATAATATACTTTCTACTTACTTAAATGAATGGTCAAAAATGGTTCAATCAGGCGAAAAGGGAGATTAAATATTTTATCACGTGCCTGGATGGCTTCTCATACATGTACTCATATGTTACTGTGAATATGGTAAGAGACAAAAAAACGAGAAAAAAATATTAAATATTTCAATATCATACATTCTTAATAGAAAAAAATAATCAATAATGGTATCTATATAAAAAAATAATTTAGAAATGGTCCCAAAAATAAAGTGAAACCTTTGCACTAATTCTAATATTTTAAAGAAATAAATGACTTTTTTATTATTATTATTATTATTATTACAAATTTGCAATAAACTTTATTTTAAAATGTTTATTAGACTTCTAGAAAGCAGAAAATTAAAAAATAAATAAATAAAACAAAAAATTGAAATGATTATTATCAAATAAAAATAAACTTTCAATATGTTTTGAATAAAATATATATTGTGTATAAACGGCATTCATTTCTTGTCATGAATAATATTTATTTACGTTAAAAAAAATATTTAATTTTTGAAATTGGCATAAATAAACTATTTTATTTGAACCTATTATTACCCTATGAATAAACATATCACTACTTGGTCCCTCAAATTATTTGTTGACCCAAGCTTTTATATCATATGAATCATGATAAAAACTACTCTCAAATTTAAAATATTAATTAAATGTGAAAGGACCACTTACTAAAGTATTACCAATTTATAATACATTAATCTCGAAATGTAAATAAAAAATAAAATAAATAAATAAAAAAAACAAAAAGATAAAAAAAGAAAAGATAGAGGCTACATAGGCTACATTATTGTATACTTTAGTATATGATATTATATTGTAGCATCACGGTCACAGTATATATCTCCTATGAAATCAAATATTTTGTACTTATATATATATGTAGGTTATTAACAAACATATTTCTCATTAATTAAATATTAATACTTTTTTTATACCAACAAAAATTGACGTTTAATTATTTACAAAGACGAGCAATGAAATCATTTCATTAAATTTTCTTACATACAAATAAGACGATTCTTGATGAGCTAATTGTAGGGGGGCCTACCTTCTTTATTAATGCCTAATTAAATCTTGTTAGGTATTTTAATCCATCATTATCATAGTATCATTATACGAAGGTTGACCTAATTTTTGTATCGATTCATGCTCCACATACATGTTTCGACATTGCTCAAACTTATTTGAGATAATTTGTTTTCAACCCGAGGATAGAAATCTCTCCTAATTCCTTTTTCATTCGAGGTTTACAATCTCGGGTTTAAAACATGTAGAAGCCTTTCATTGCTCCCTTTCCATTATCGATTTAAAAGGAAGATCCATATTTCATTGGAGGTAGATCTGTACGGGGCTCCGACTGTGTAACAAAATATCTTATTTCATTTGAAAACAAACAAAGATGATAGTGAGGTGGAGTAGATATTTATTGTAATGGGTAGTGGAACCACTTCCCAACAACCAAACAATAAAATCGGTCACCATTGTCGGATTTGTTTGTTTTTTTTTTCCCCAAACTGGAAATTCAATAATTTGCACAATTTGCAGTTGGGTTAAGAGAAGTATAAGCAAGAAGCTCCTCATTGTGCTGAAAGGCAGCCATTTCCTTGTCATCCAAGCTAATCAAAGCTTCAATGCCGCCGCCATTTTTGTCGTCCAACATCATCACCGTGTTCTTCATCTTGAACGCCGCCATTGTCACCCAAGCCGCCGCTCCCCACCCAAAATCCACTCCATAAACGGGGAAGTTGCAGCCACTGCTGCATCTATAAATCAATTGGGGTTTTCCATTCTTGCTCAGAATTTCTCTGACTTCATTTAATCGCTTTTTTATCAATTCAACCCACTCCTCTGTTCGGAACTTTTTGGCGTATTTGTCGCAAAACTCACCCATTTCTTTCCTCATTACCCCCACCACCTCGTGTACCTCTACTTCTCTTTCCCCGGCGGCGGCGGCCACCGGGAAGAATGAGACTATATTTCCCATTGTGCTCTCCGGCAGCGGCGGCACCATCCTTGTGCGTAAATTCATTGTTTGTAACAGTAATGTGGGGTGGTTGTTGGGATTTGAATTTGAATCTCGCAATGCTGAAATAATGGCTTTGTAAATCAACGCCGTCATAACTTCGACTCGGGTTGGAATTTTAACTTTGTCGGAGATGCTGCGTTTCAGGGCTTCGATCTTTGAAGCTTCGAACACAAACCTGATGAGAATATGAATAAATAGAAAAGTTGTTAGAAAGGTCAAAAGTGAAAGAGAATTTAACTGAATGTGTACCGTTTGCAGGTCAAGTTTTTTCCTTCTTCAATGACGGCGCCGGACATGGGGGGCAAGTCGCCGAGAGGGAACAAATCGGCGGAGTGAAAAAGTGGGTTCACAGTGTGTTGAGCAGAGTTGGTGGTATCCCGAGTGATGAAGCCCCAGTCTGTGACGAACTTCACCAGCGTGGCAAGATCCCCAAGCTTATGGGACAGAAGGACGCCGACGGCGAATCCACCACACTGAAAGTAGGTAACTTGAATGGCCAACAGAGGACCCATTTTGGAGTGTTTCCATTGCAGCCCATCCACGAATAGCATCTCCACTATCTCACTTTTAGGGCCTTCCAGGATCTCCGCCAGTGTCACGTTACCTCCCAGACTGGCCTCCAAAAACGTGACCCCCTCATCGTTGCAGTCCACCGTCAGTTTGTCTTTGATCCTGCCCGCGAAAGGGTAGTACCTGCGAGTTCAAACATTAGTTTTTCCTTTTAAGATGAAGGGTATTATTGAAATTGGATTGATGGTGGTCCAATCAGCAGTAGCATAGTAGCAAAGCAATGAGAAATTTGAGTATAGAATTACCGAGACAGAGTGGCGGAAAGAGAGCGTTGAAGGAAGTGGGATGTGCAGGGGGGATTGGGGGAAGCGGCGTGGGGGCGGCGGAAGAAGAAGACGAGAGGAACATACATGTGGGGGGCGAGCTGATCAAAGAGGGAGAGGGCATGAGTTTTGAGATGAGGGGGCGTCGGGGAAGAAGGCTTAATGCTCTGCCTTGAAACAATTTGAAGCTGCATGGTTGAATAGATTAGATTGTATTGGGTATTGGTTGATGCATCCATCTATGCTCAGTTTCTTCACTTTATAATGCCCATTGGGTGAACAAAAAGGAAGGACTTTATTGTTTTTGTTTTTCTCAAAGGGATCAAATCAATCAATCAATCAATCTTGGGGGAGTGGGGACCAAAGCTTTGTTCACCAAAATGGTGCCAATACTAACTAGCCCCTTCTGCCGCCTATAACTCTTACCTTCATTAGTTTTTTCATTCAAAACGTTAGCTTATATAATTTATTCATACCCTACATGTATATATATTTATATTTATACTTTTGTCTCAGTACTTGTCCTTCCAACCTCTGTTAAGAATAATATGATATTGACCACTTTGAATCGGCAAACACGATCTTCTAAGGCTATCAAACTTCATGGATCATCATCAAAGGATAAATGTGAGGATATGGGATAAATTTTGTGAATTCAAATGTTCACCAGGAAATGAAATCATTGGGCAATTTGGTCTGTTCCGCTGTATATATGCAAAGATCCTACTTTGAAGTAAATCTCAATACGATCTTCTTTTAGCAGTTTTTGAACGTTGTTTGAAGTTGTTGGATGTTTAAGGCATTTTATTGAAGTTGAAAATGTGAAGCGGAGCTCTCTGTTCTGTTGCTAACGTCAAGGACAAATCTAGAAGGTTGTACAGCACCCAAAGAATGGCGGGTGCTTCGACAAACAGCAGAAGCTGCCCTCTGCCATCACTTGAAGAAGCATCGGCGATCTCACTGGCCGAAGCATCAGGTATGTTTATATTATAAACCCTGATGCAGTCAACCCCCCATAATCCCAACCCAATTCTGTTGAGATGGTTGTATGTTGAACAGAAGCCATGGGTAAACCAGGGTTGAAGCTGACTTGGTTGTTTCTGTTGAGCTAAGCTGTTGATGGCGCTTGGCTGGTGGGGGCTAAAATGTTTGAAAGACAGAGGTGAAGCCAAGTCGTGGAAGTTCCAACCAATAAATTTGTGGTTATCCATGGATGGGAGTGTGTGGGAGTCATACATCTCATATTCCTACCCCACTTATAAAAATCTAAACTTTGTTACAGTAAGACCCAACTTTTGCGAACCCCACTTCAAAATCTTCAGCTTTCATGCTCCAATCGTCCAATCGAGCTCTTAAATTCACTGTTTTTCTAGTTGGAGTTTGACCCATAAACCCCCTTCCCTTCCCTTCCCTTCCCTTCCCTTCCCTTTCAATTTGAGGGGTTCTTGCGACCTTCATTTCTCCTTGTTTGCTTCATAAAAATGGCTTCCTTATCTCCTTGTCGCCCAAATTTTATGCTCTCTTCATTTCCGAACCGTGTTCCGACCTCAAATCCTCTATTTCATGCGGTCCAATTCCGAGGTTTATCCCACCACAAGCCCTTCCTTCGCGGTTCCCTTGCCGTTACGAGATTCGGGCTTAAACCCGAGTTCTTGCCTGACCCAGATAACGCCGAGGGCTTTGTGAGGGAGTTGTTCGGCAAAGCTGAGAGCGTTCTGTATACGATAGCCGACGCCGCCGTGTCTGCTTCGCCGGAAGACGTGACCACCGCCAAGCAAACTGAGGATTGGTTTACGGGGATTACCAATTACATGGAGAGCGTCCTTAAAGTACGTTATCTTTAGCCATTTATGAAGGAGAAAGCTGAGAAAAAGGGACTAAGTCCATGAAATTCTAGAATTGAAGTTGTGTTTAATCTAGTCGGCTTTATTTTACAGATTCTTGAGAATGGACTTTCTACTCTGCATGTTCCTTATGCCTATGGTTTTGCCATTATACTCCTTACAGTTCTTGTTAAGGCTGCCACATTTCCTTTGTCAAAGAAGCAGGTTTTTTGCTGAAGTAACACTTAACTTAAGGCAATTTTCGTTTAGTGTGTGTATGTATATATATTAACTTGTTGACTTTGTTGAACTCAGGTAGAATCTGCAACGGCAATGCGTTCGTTGCAACCGCAAGTAAAGGCCGTTCAGCAACGTTATGCCGGGGATCAGGTTAAAAGCTCTTCCCTAACATGAAGGATGTATCTCTGAAATGTAGTGAATGAAACTAAATTTAGCATAATAGTTGGTGATCTAATTGTGATGATCATGAGAATTGTAGCCATATTGAATTTGATCAAACTGGTCTGCAGGAGAGGATTCAAATTGAAACTGCTCGACTCTACAAATTAGCTGGAATAAACCCGTTTGCAGGTACTCAAATTGCGTCGTTTTTAGACGCCATAGTTACTCTATTAACCATAGTAGTAATCACAGACTGCATCCTTGTCCATGTATGCTAGTTTCAATTATAGACAATCCTTGTATGCTAGTTTCCTCTCAAGGTTTTTAAAACGCATATGTTAGTGAGAGGTTTCCACAACCTTATCAAGAATGTTTTGTTCCCTTCTCCAACCGATTTGAGATCTCACAATCCACCCCCTTCGAGGCTTTTCGTCCTCACTGGTACATCTGATTCTAATATCTTCTGTAACAGCCTAAGCCTACCGCTAGTAGATATTGTCCTCTTTGATCTTTCCCTTTCGGGCTTCCCCTCAAGGTTCTTAAAATGCATATGCTAGGGAGAGGTTTCCCCACACCCTTTTAAAGAATGTTTCGTTCCCCTTACTAACTGACGTGGGATCTCACAATATTTGCTTGGTATATCACATGTCAATTTTGTTCTGGATTTCAGGATGCCTACCTACGTTGGCTACAATCCCCGTATGGATTGGACTATACAGAGCTCTTTCAAATGTGGCCAATGAGGTGCTTTATTATTGCCTTTGAATTTGTTTGGAGACTGATTTCTCTCACTAACACATACCCCTAATACAATTTGACTGCCCAAACTTAAAGGGTCTCCTCACAGAAGGCTTTTTCTGGATACCGTCTCTGGCTGGTCCAACTACGATCGTTTCTCGACAAAGTGGGAGTGGTATCTCTTGGCTCTTTCCATTTGTTGTAAGTGCTTTGTCTTTGATACTATGAGTCCATGGGCTACATTACTGTGCACCCATTTGACATGGTTATGCTTGCTTTGACTGCTGAGCAGGATGGTCATCCACCACTTGGGTGGTCAGATACCTTGGCATATCTTGTCTTGCCTGTGTTGCTGGTTGTGTCGCAGTACATCTCGGTTCAGATTATGCAATCGACGCAGGTCTGTTGTTATTCGACGTTTTATAAGAGTGCTACTGCCTATCTAGGTAGCTTGGCCTTTTTCGTGAAGCGTTATACCGATATTGATTTATCTTAATTCTCAAATCATGATATCCAGAATAATGATCCAAACATGAAGAGTTCTCAAGCCATAACGCAGTTCCTACCGTTGATGATTGGATATTTTGCACTTTCAGTTCCTTCTGGTCTAAGTCTTTATTGGTAAGCAATTTTCTTTTAATCAGAACCAGCTCCTTTCGCTAGACGAAATCGATCGATTTGTCATTTGCTGGTTCGTTTAGTTGTAATACCATAATCTCCTTGAGAATTTCAGCATTTCTTATATCTGCCACGTGTTACTCAGGCTTACCAATAACATCTTGAGCACAGCACAGCAGGCATGGCTTCAAAAGTCAGGTGGTGCAAAGACCCCGGACAAACGGTTCATCGATGAAAGCATCAAACAAGAACAAGCCCGAGTCCAGATCCAATCGCCCGAGTTAAAGTCAGTTTCGATGAGCACAGTAGCCAGAGAATCAGAGAAGCCAACAGCAGAAGGGGTAAAACCTGGTGAAAGGTAGGAGTCATTTCTTACCGAAAACACGGGTCGGGTTTTGTTATAGTTGTGGTGTTTGATGTGTTGATAATTTTCAGATTTAAACAGATAAAGGAGCAAGAGGGTAGGATAAGACAGCAAAGAGAAGAAGAAAAGAGGAAAGCTGAAGAGGCAGCCAAGCTTGAATCTCAGACAATAAATGACAGTGACAAGAGCGCAGCTGCTAGATTTGTTGTCAATGGCAGTCTTTCTAGACAGGATGTGGAGGAAGTTCAAAACTCCATGTCCACATCTACTATGCTGCATAGAACCGACGCGGACGACGAGGTTAGCGATACAAGCGAGCATCTGCCAAGTGTAACTCAGGAAGAGGTAAATCCTTGTTAGTTGTACGACTCGTCGCACTTTTCTCATAATTAATCATTTGTACGAGTTCTCGCTTGAAATTCACCATTAAATGCCAAACATTTGCATATTCAGAACGTAGTCGAGACGTACACCGGTGTGGGCAAGGATGCCAAACTAAATGGAGAGTAACTGTTGATGGCAGATTGAGATGATGTCTTTGTTATACAAGCCAGCAGGCAGCTAGAACACTGGATAATATAGCAGGAAAACCAATTGTTTTATGAAGTTCGATACCGTGGAGCGTTGGATCGGAGGTACTACGAATACTGCTGAAGCTTAAATTCTTTTGCTGATGGTCACTTTAATAGATTGTGGAATAACATGAATGTAATTTGTGACATGTACAACATGGATGAGTAGTTGGATGGATCCCTTTTAGATTTCGAATACAACGAATAACGAATTATACAACAAATAACGAATTAGCATATGTGAGATCCCACACCTGTTGGAGGGGAAACGAAACATTTGTTATAAGCACGGGGAGAGTTGGGATTATTAACATTCTTCTCGACATTTGGCCCAAATTCAATCATTAACCCATTTTAGAGGAGAAAAGTTGGAATTCTTGAACTGATTTAAACTTATAGGGTAGAGGTATAATTAGCACATGCATTCACCAAGATTCTTATTCCTTGACTTTTCATATTAGTCAAATGGCTCCCTTTTAAAATACATGTTGATGTTCCAAAAGTTTTATATAAAGTTCCAATAATAAATGATATCCTTTCTCCCCCAACGTTTTATTGACTTTCACTAATGAATATGATTGTGAGATCCTACTTCGGTTATAGGGTTAGCAGACGCGCTTTAAAACTGTGAGGTTAATGACGATATGTAACAGGTCAAAGCGGACAATTAATGGTGGATTTGGTATCAAAGTCAGACATCGGGCGGTGCACTAGTGAGGATAACTGGCCTTATAAGGGAGGTAGATTGTGAGATCTTATATCGGTTGGAGGGGAGAACATTGAAGCAGTGTGCCAATAAGGACGGCTAGACTTCTTGTGAGATCGGTATAGACAAAAATTCAACGTATTTATTAGAAAAAAAAAATTATTTTGTAGTTGAAAGAAAATGGTGGTATAGTCAATCCATGGATGATTGATTTAATTGGAGCACATGGGTCTCAATATTCCCAATATTATTTTAAGTAATCAACTTACAAATCATTTTTTATTAATGAAATTATATTTTAATATGACCATTAAGCCAGACCAAGTGTAAACAGGGATTGGAATAATGTAAACCCTAGTTGGGATGACTGATATTCCTACACCAGACCAAGTGTAAACAAGGATTGGAATAATGTAAACCCTAGTTGGGATGACTGATATTCCTACAGCCAAGCAGCAGTTCAAGGCTATTCTACGCCATCTGTTCGTACTACGAACTATAATTAATACCTTTTATGGAATGGAATTTGGGTGCTGACATCATTGATGATGACAACCAAGAAGTCAAAGGTCAAAGCATTGAAGGGTTGAGATTTAATGGAGTCGATGATGAAGGGGTAGAGCAAATCTGAAGAAGCCCCACATGGGAGAACATGGCCTTCAAACAAAACAAGAACGGATATAACATGGATTGACTTTCGTAGTTGAATTATAACGGCCAACTACTTTGCGCCAACTGAAAATCATGGATTATAAAAGCAGCCTTCTTCAGACCCTTCTTCCCCATCACCAAACTCGATCCTCTGTTTTTGCCTTCTATCTCTGCTTCACACAGAACAGAGCGAACACAGCCATGGCAAACCCCATTGTTCTTCTCATAACCTTCGTTCTTCTTCTCCATATGTACTCTGCTTCTTCCTCTCCAGTCGCCGATCCTGAGCAAGTGGTTGAAGAAGTTCTCACGTAGCGCCTCTTCAAATCCCCTGTTTTCATTTTAGTCGCACTAAATTTTTCATTTTACTAAAGATTTTGTGGTTTTTTAATCTCAGGAGCATCAACAATGCAACAAAAAGAAGGAACTTGGGGTTCCTCTCCTGCGGAACTGGAAACCCAATTGATGATTGTTGGAGGTGCGACCCCGATTGGGAGAAGAATCGAAAGCGGCTAGCCGACTGCGCCATTGGGTTTGGGAAGGGAGCCATCGGCGGCAGAAACGGAAAATTCTACATTGTCACTGACCCATCTGACAAGGACGTGGTGAACCCAAAACCAGGAACTCTCCGCCATGCCGTAATCCAAAAAGAACCTTTATGGATCACCTTCAAGCGTGACATGGTCATCAAATTAAAAGCAGAGCTGATCATGAACTCTTTCAAAACCATCGACGGTCGCGGCAGATCAGTCCACATCGCCGGTGGGCCATGCATTACAATTCAGTACGTGACGAACATTATAATCCACGGCATTAACATTCACGACTGCAAGCAAGGAGGGAACATGTACATTAGAGATTCGCCGGACCATTACGGTTGGAGGACTCTGTCGGACGGTGATGGGGTTTCGATATTTGGGGGCAGCCATATTTGGATCGACCATTGTTCGTTGTCGAATTGCCAAGATGGGTTGATTGATGCGATTCGTGGGTCTACGGCTATCACAATTTCAAACAATTATATGACCCACCATAACAAAGTTATGCTTTTGGGACATAGTGATTCGTACACTCAAGACAAGAACATGCAAGTCACCATTGCTTTTAACCATTTTGGCGAGGGGCTGGTGCAAAGAATGCCACGGTAAGAGGCAACATATATGTATTTTTAGTTTGTGGTTTTGGGAAAGTTGAAGCTTATGAATACTGATTTTGTGTTGTTTTTTTTGTGTAGATGCCGACATGGGTATTTCCATGTGGTGAATAATGACTATACCCATTGGATTATGTACGCCATTGGTGGAAGTGCATCGCCCACAATCAATAGCCAAGGGAACAGATACCTTGCTCCTGATAACCGAGTTAGAAAAGAGGTGACAAAGCGTGAGGCTGCAGCAGAGAGCAAATGGAAGAATTGGAATTGGAAATCAGAGGGAGATTTGATGTTGAATGGAGCGTTCTTCAGGAAGTCCGGTGCCGGAGCGTCGTCTAGCTATGCGAGGGCGTCGAGCTTGAGTGCCAAGCCATCGTCGTTGGTGAGTTCAATGACGGCAGGAGCAGGAGTGCTGAAATGCTCCAAGGGCTCCCCATGCTCTACTTGAGCCACTCTCACCAATCTCACTAAGTTCCTCAAGCATTCACAAAGGCCACTATTTGATCCATACGTAATTATGAAGATTTTGATCATAATTATGTATGGTGTGTTATAGGCATGCTTATCCAATGCGTGTTACCTATAACCGTATGTCGGATGTCACGGTCATATTTGTCTAGGACGTGTTGTTGCACATGCCTATTCCAAACCCATTTTACATACTTTCATCTTAAATAGGTCTTTACCATTTCACGTTGTGTCAAAAATAGGTCTTTACCATTTCACGTTGTGTCAATACGGTGACATATAACCGTTCATTCTCATGTCTACACCCTCCAAGGCTAAAATGCCACAAAATGTATAGGAATATGACTAATTGTCACTTTTTCCTATCTTAGTTATATACTATTTAAGATTAAGATGGGTGGTCTTTTCTTTGTTTATAGTGTCATATAACGTTACTTTCTTCAATTCTTTTCTTGCTCACGCTTTCTAAATGTCACTCAAGGCCCACATATGCTAATGGTATCCGTAACGTCCAAATTTCTCCAAATTTCTCAGCACAAGCGCCACATAATCGTTGTCCCACACCTGCAAGTATGCAATTGTAACACTATGTGCCACTTCCAACTCTGGTTTGAATTTTGAATATAATGTTTTTTGAACTACTCCAAAATGTCAAACAACCTTCTTCTCTTCCCGTCTTCAAACATTTATATTTTTATTTCATTATTCATAAAATCAATATTATTTGAAATATTCATAAAAGAAATATGCAATATAAATAAGCAACGAGGGCTCTTTGGTTGTAGAAAACTTCTGGGGCAAAGACAATTCAATTCTCGAGTTCAAAGTAAGAACAAGGAAGAAAAGGAGAGTAGGCACAGCAGAGGGAATGGCTGATGAAGACGGTTCATACAAAATATTCCTCCATCTATTGTTGACTATATCAGAATCCCAGATAAATGAACGTACCCTAAATGAGTTGATATCACATTGCTCACGTATAAACCAGATGACATCGACAAGGCTTGTACTGAGCTCATCCCTTCCATTCACACATAAACAATAATCTCTATCACATCCCGAAAATCATACAATCCGAAGTTTTCAATAATCGAGTCACTGACTCATGCCATTACAAAGACGGGCAGCAAAAAAGCACAATTACATTAATAATCAGAAGAAGAGATCACATCATCAATCTTCAGAATCATCTTCACAACCTGAGTAGCCAATAAAACCTGTTGTTGCTTTCCAATCAGAGTCTCAAATACATTTTGCTTCCGCATGTCATTTGTGCCCACATCGTTGCAGTCTATTCCACAGTATGGATTGTTCTCCTGCATATTTAATAGCGAATACTTCATACAAAGTCCGAGCTTGAAATCAAAATCTAAGAGTCATTCACACACGCTTACCTTAATTTGCTGAGATTTTACAGCAGAAAGTGTTTCAATTGGCTGTAACCCACTGTTCTCCGCAAGAGCCATCGGTACAGAATCCAATGCATCAGCAAATGCCCTGATAGCATACTGCAAAAAAGGGGAGAAAATGTTAAACGTCGTTTTCCAATTTAGCAAGGCAGGAGATAAAATAAAAGCCTCATGCCTGTTCAACTCCAGGGTATTTATCAGCAGCTGCCTCTACAGCAACTGAACAAGAAATCTCAGCTGAACCACCACCATATACTATCGAATTATTGCGGATAAGATTCCTAGCCACACACAAAGCATCATGGATACTGCGTTTTGTCTCCTCTATCATCATCTTGTTACCTAAAACCATCACATAAACTCCTGAGCTCATAATCATCGAAGGTCTTAAACCAAGATGTTAGGTTCTGACTTTTTATTTTTTGAATGTCATTTAGGAACAACGTCTATTTGATGATAAATCAACACATTCAAGAGAAAAATCTCAATTTTTCATCTTTTCTGCCTTGTTATTATACAACAGCCGTCCAGTCAAGTTCAGTGCAAAACTGCCAAAATGTTGCTTGAAGAAGGAACAGAATAAAAGAGGATCTACCAACCTCCACGGATAAAAATGGTCACAGCCCTTGAATTTGCACAATGTTCAATGTATAGCATCCGATCTTTTGTTGTACCAAATGCTTTTTCTCGTACCAAGCCGGCCTAGTTTGGTGAAGAGAAAAGAAGATATCATTGTGAGTTAGAGCTGCTTGAGTTATTATACACAAAGTGAAAGAATGAGCTCACATAAGTCAAGCTGCTTATTAGTTCAGAAAAAGATCATACAAAATAATGAGAAGGGATAGGCAGTACCTTCCCAAGTTTCTCTGATGTCAATTCTTGGAACCTAGGGACTATTCTTCCGCCTATAAAGTCAATAAAATAACAATTTAAGCAAAGTAATTCAGAACGTGAAATTACCCTAGGTGAAGAAAATTGGAAAAACTAGTGATCCGAACAGAACCAACATTAGCTTATTCAGTTTTTTGAGCCAAGCAATTTGGACTGAAAACAATGATTCGTCATTTAGTTCTTGTTCAGCCATCTGATCCTCTTGTTCCCATTGTGCAATTCGCCTTTATAAGGCCCTAGACAGCCACTAGGTTTGAGAATCAAAAGTCAAAATAGCCATAAGCAAAAGGCAACCACCCAATGAGGGTTTTAAACCTATGGCTGCTAGGTTGACTCTCAGGGTTTTCACTACAAAACCTAACCTCATGGGTCATAAACATAACTGAAAATGCTGATAAAATAATTGAGCTAAACCTGTGGCTATGGCAATCAACTCTAGTTCCACACCACCAACCCATCTGACAGCTGGCAAATTTCGGTGCATCAGCAGATGATTTGCCTCATCATCAAACCCCCATTGACAAATAACCAATGTAGCGCCAACATCCTGAAACAGAAAATGTATCAGTATGAGCCTAAAAATAAATCTTCACGAGGAGAGAAAATCAAACGAAGGAAGAAGCCCAAATTTCATTAATAAAAATGGAAACAGCAAAAAGAAACCCTCAGAAAACCAAACCAATGGAACATGGCCAAACACTGTACTGTACTAAAGGAAATTGAAGAGAACCACACTAATAATTCCAAGTAGGGGAATATCCTCTGAGAGAGAAGTCCAAAGGATTCATTGAAGGGTATCCTTCCAAACCACTTCCAGTAAACCTTTCTATCAAGCCAAATGGACCAGAAAATAGATGATAGCATTGTATTATTTGATAATACTGAAGGACCAGATAAAGCATTTCCATTTTACCTTGCATTTTTGAACCATGTCATCAAAGTATTTCTGTTCCTGTTGCCTTAACGTTTCAAACTTCTCCACTGAATCAATATCAACCTTATGCTTTGTCTTGGGTTTAGGTGGTTCAAATGGGCAAGTTAAGATGGCAATCTTAGCATCTTCAATTTGCTTTGGCATCTGAGGGTGACTCATGTCCTTGTCAACAATAATACCATAAACAAGTTCCGTATCTTCCAACTTCCCCCCTACTTTCCCCTCAACTTTTATCAAATCTAAGTTAACATCCCTTCTTTCAAGATCTGCCACAGCAACAACCGCTTTCACGGCAATTTCTGCTAGATTGCGCTTACAACGATTCACACTGCAAGATCAGAAAAGGGGCTATAAAAGGTAATGAAGTCACAATGCAGCATAATAAATAGTCATCAACTATCCCCTTTTTTTTTTTGGTCTGCCAAATTAAATCATAAGATCACTTCACTATCAGTTTACACAAACACTGATGCAACCAAATTAAGAGGAAACCAGGGTTTAACAACTTATATCTATTCATGGTACACATAGGAACACTTAGCAATCTATTAAATAACATATCATGAAAACTAAACTGATGATACCACAGTAGAGGCACAAGATTAACATACAAGATATGTAATGTCTATTAACTTTTATCAAACAAAGATAAGAATATTACGTTAGATACCCTTAACATGAAGAACACCAATAAATTTAGTCCATCCAACTTATTAGAAAGGAGAATCATAAATGTCAATGCAGTTATGAAACAGCAGAGTATACTGCACTTATGAAGTCATGTCAACATACATCTTTGACGATAAAGTGGTCATGCAAGTTTGAATCAAAGGTTCTAAGTTCGTTTCTCCAAAATCAAACTTCTGGGCAATATGCTCCAGATGGTCTACAGCTATCCTGGAGGCCAGTTCATAACCCTCTGCAACTCGAATAGGATGAATTCCACGTTCTAATAATCGCTCAGCCTGTTCTAAGAGTGCACCGGCCATTACAACCACACCAGTGGTGCCATCACCAATTTCATAATCCTGACTTCGGGATAACTCAACCATCAATTTTGCAATTTGATTGTCAACATCCATCTGCTCCAAGATTGTTGCACCATCATTAGCTGAAAAGGAGATCACAAGTGAAGTTCCCTGGAAAGTTAGCCAACCATGGAATAAAATTAAACAGAATCTACGCTCCAGCCAAAACTTTCTAATGAACAGAACACACAAAATATCATATATATTTGAAGAAAATCTTATCGACTACAAGGTAGTAGTTTATTGTTTTCAATTACATCTCTGATACCATAGAAGAAAAAACTAGAGAGATATTCAGAGGTCGTCATAGGTATACAAAATATTTTTTTAAAAAAGAATACAGTCCGGAGAGCGTGGGGAAAAGGTTGCAAGTTTCGGGGGGAAAATGGGTTGGAAATGAAGTGGAATGCCAACGGAATCTTGACACCGGACTTAAGGCTATTATTATTCACCGATGAAAAATAGTGCCAGCACGAAGCTGCGACCAATGTCACAAGATTTCATGAGGGATAACCTTCCTCTGATATACTTTACATAGTCTAACTCACTTCTTAGTCTTCAAACTTCCGTTGCTGCTTACCTATGATGTCTAAAATTCTGAAATTATACATCCGAAAGTTATAGACCAGCAAAAGCAGCAGCAGAAGCAAGAGGAGACCAACAATTTTTTGAAAACAAAAATGCGGATTATCACTTATAATCCTTTAAAAAGCAACGTCCAGATTCCAACATTGGGCAAAGCTCATGGTTCTAAAATTGCATAAAAAGAAAGCAAGCAAAGGGAGTGAGCGAGACTAACTTATTGTAACGTCGCCATCAGGGCTCTGGAGCATCTTATCCATGCCCTTAGGACCAAGTGAGGTCCTGAGGATACGAGCGACAGCTTTGCCAGAAGCAATGTTCGCCTTCTGAGCATCGAGACCCCTCAACCTGGTCTTCTGCTCCTGCTCCTTCAAGATTATAAATGGCCTCCCATACTCATCGAAAGCGAGCGCCATGTGTACGCAGAGATCAGCTTCACTCCCGGATCAAGAGTTCCAGATCGTACAGCTACGAAATGGATCTCCCACTGAGTAGCAAAGAAAAGAAAAATATCAGAGAAGCTCCAGGAAATGTATCTCCAACTGTGATAAGAGGTTTTAGAGTTTCCCTCCTTTGGAAAAGCCCTAATTGAATGAGTTTCCCTCCTTTGGAAAAGCCCTAATTGAATTGGGCTTCCCGCGTCTTGGGTTTTAGAATTTTGGGCCTCTTAATGGAGCCCACTAAAATGTACAAAAATGGTAAACCAAAATTATGTGTTTGTTTTAACAAACAAATACGATTCTATGGCTTCCCATACAATTCGCAGATTTCAGTTTGGGAAATTTGTAATAGGTTAGCGTAATTGGCGTGAATTTGCATGTATATAAACGCCTCCCATCACCACTTTCAATTCAAGCCTTCACTGTCCTTCGCAGTTCTTCATCTTCCTTTCACAGAACTGCACTTTCATTCAGAAATCTCAAAATCCCCCAAAAAAGAAAAAAAAGCCAAAACCCCCCATTACCACACAAAAAAAAAAAAGATGGCACGTCAATTTGTTGTTGTTGCTCTCGTCCTCTTCGCCGTTGTCGGCTTCGCCTCCGCTGCCGTACCTGCTGAAACTCCCAAGGCCGGTGCTAATAAAACCGAGGCTCCCGGCGCCGATGGCAAGATTGGGAACACCACCGACGGGGCCGCGGCTCCCGGTGGTAGCAACGATACCGTTGAAGGCCCAGTCGGTGGACCTGGCGCTGCAGGAGCTTCCTCTGGGCCCGCTGAATCACCCAAGAGCGATGCCTCCACCGTGAAATTTTCATTTTCCGCCGTCGGTGGTGTGGCTGCTGTTGCCGGCGTTTTCTTGTTCTAAGCATACGAGAGAGTCGTGATTTTCGCTTTAATTGTTTTAACCATTTGTAAGTCAACAAATTGGAATCGAATAAAAATGAAACAATAAAGTGAGGGTTGTTACAAGTTGTATGATCTGCTTCTTATATTGTGATTTGATACAAATATAGGAATTTGAATTGCATTTTATTAGATGGGTGTTGTGAGGTAGGAGGGTAGGCGTAGGCCTCCCTTTAATTAATAACCCCAAAGCCTTAATCTGCCACACCTGCATGCTGCAGGCTGCAGGCTGCATCGATGGAAGTTAAGTTGGCATGGGGATCACTGAAAAGTAACTCAACTAAGGCAATATGCGGCACGGTTAGCCTAGGATTATGTGTCACCGTTGCCGCGGCGGAGGAGGCCCTTCTGCTTAAACCCTACGTGCATGGTTTTGCATGAACCGATCATCTCACATGCTCCCCCATGTCTTTTTTTATTTAATTCCAAACATTTTAAAAATTTGGATATGAGAGTGTTGAAATTTTAGAGAATAAAATAGAAGAATTTGAAAGGCATGGCAGACAGGCGGGTGTATATCTAATTAATTATCGTTCTTAGTGTTAATGGGGAACACCAATACGGAACACCATCCTAAATTGCCAACCACTTTCTTTAAATTATTGTTTTCCTTTAATTCCATTATAATTCTCTAATTTAATTACAAATCTTTCTATTTTTATTTTTATTTTTATTTTTATTTTTATTTTTATTTTTAATTAGAGATGCTATTAATTTTAATTATGGTTGGATTAATTTTAATTAGAGATGCTATACCCTATTTTATTTTATTTTATTTTATTTTATTTTTGGTTTAAAAGTTGAGTAATTTATGAATGAAAGCGTGGGAGAGGGGTAGTGGTAGTCCATCCCAATTCAAATCCAACTCAGGGCAGGGCAGGGCAGGGCAGGGCAACAATCCCCCCTCCCAAGTATAGCTATCTGTCCCCCCTTCCCTTTCACTACCAATATAGCCGTAGGGAGTAGGGTAGCTATCCTCCTTCCCCTGTGCTCTCCATAAAAGTTCCCTACCTTCCTACTGCTTCATTTATAGACCTATTTACCCTACTGCGCTCACAAAATTTTTATTTTCCCTATTCTCGCCCTTCCCTAATATTTGTACGCTCCTTTTCTTTAAGGCTACTTCCGTATTTTCCTCTCCGGTCACTTTCATTCCATACCCATATCGCTCTCTTTTACCAACCTCCTGCTTCTTCACTATGGATGCGCTGAAACAGGAAATAGCCCAACCATACCCCTGTTCCTTCGCTTCTATTCCCTCCACCGGAATTTATTAGGGTTTCTTCTTCAAAGAGACGCGACCAAAACCTCTGAACTCACCTCGCAATCTGTCCTCCCCCGCTTGCTTTAACCTTATTACTCCGCCATGCCACAAATCGTTATGCTCAAGCTTCGGCGAGGTTTAGACCCAGCTGCCCAAGAGTTCAGACCTGGAAACCTCGTCAATCCGACGCCACTCCCGCCCGTCGTATTCGGACCGCCGCTCCGCCATCTATACTATTCGTTCGGCGCTTCGTCCCCGCCGCAAGTCGACGCGTTTCGCAATTCGGCGATAACGTATTCCCCTAATTTTCCGGTTTATTTTAATCCGGCGTTTGTCAATAATAATCCACTGGAGGAAATCGCGGTGCCGCAGGTTCAGCCTCTGTCGTCGTATCCGACTCGGTCGCTGTTACTGAGTGCAGTGCCGAGTGACGTAAGCGAGTCAGTGGTGCGAAGGGATTTGGAAGGGTTTGGAGATGTGAGATGGGTTCAGATGGAGAGAATTAGGGATGGAATCCTAACCGTCCATTTTTACGATCTGAGGCATGCAGAAAGGGCCTTTCAAGAGATGAGGGACCAACATTTGATGCGTCAGAAGCAACTTCGCGACCAACATTCTTGGTCTTCGAAGAACAGTTTCGACACGCCGCCGCGGTTGGCTCGTGCCCTAATCGGTGGCCATGTTGTGTGGGCCGAATTCATTATTCCGACGACTAACGCCGCGGTACCAGACTGGAACAACCAGGGAACCATCGTTGTTTTCAATTTGGAGTCGGATGTCTCCGCCTCTACTCTCAAGGAAACCCTCGAACGTTTTGGTACATTTTCTTCCTTCCGTCTCTTCGTTTCGGTGGGGTCTTTTGTGGGGCTCTCGTTAATGAACCTGACTCCAACTCTTTCCCCTACTTTATAGTCCCAATCAGATGCATGTTGATGATGATGGTGTTATTCTTTTGTTGTATTTTTTTGGTTGGGTGGCTGGGGGGTATTTTTTTTTTTTTTTTGTTTTTTTCCTTCATATATCACTTTATTGATTACTTTATCTTTGGAGTTAGGTCCTGTGAAGGAATTTAGGGAGGTGCCATTGAAGAAGCATCGAAGGTTCATTGAGTTTTTTGATGTTAGAGATGCTGCGAAGGCTGTTAAAGAGATGAACGGAAAGGAAATTCATGGCATGCCAGTCGCCGTTGAGTTCAGCCGTCCCGGTGGACATGAAAGGAAGTTCTTCAACCCCATGATTGCTAGACACCATCGGCAGCCTCCTCTCCCTCGAACTTCGAAGCTATCTTCTGGTCGTTTCAACGACCCACATCGCCCATTCTATTCCCAAGCTCAATTTTCCCCCAAGAAGCTGCACTCTGTGACTGGCCGGAGCTTTAATTACGCTGGGAAACTGGTGGACAAGTTGCAGCCGTTGAATTGCAGTGGAAGTACAGGAAATGGAATTGTAAGAAGGGATTCAATCGGCACGTCGAGGAGGATAAATGTGGAGAAGATTATCAATAGGCAGGCGGCACCCAACTCAAAACAAGAAGCATCATCTCTACCTAGGATTAATATTAGGTTGAGAAGGAACAAGTTCTTGAAGAAATCCGATCCGTGTTTCTTAATAAGCGAAAATGGTATGGATAAAGAAACATCCGATTGCATTGATTGCAGAACCACTGTTATGATCAAGAACATACCCAACAAGTACAGGTGATCTTTCATTTTCAGTCTGGATGTATATTTCTATTTTAAAGAAACAAGCTCACGAGTTTCCTTGTTCATAACGTTTTAAACACAGTCAAACTTTGGTGGTGAAAAAGATCGTTTCTATTTTAAAGCAAACGACAGAATGATTTCCCGAAAGTAAATGTTTGTTTCACATGAATTATTAACAGAAGACAGAGACTAATGGGGTTAAACGTAAAATTGGCAGTCTGAAGTTATTATTGAAGACTCTGGACAAGCATTGCATGAAGTGCAACGAGGAGATGACCAACGATGGCAAAGACTTACCTTTGTCTTCCTACGATTTCGTATATCTTCCCATTGACTTCAGGCAACTATCTTCCTTCTTCACCTGTCATTTCCTGTTATTTCTCTGATACACCAAACATTTGTAGAATGATGATGATAACTTTTTTTTGTTTCTTTTGGTTTCTATTCCTAACTGCAGTAATAAATGTAACGTGGGATATGGGTTTGTGAATATGACCTCCCCACAAGGAGCTTGGAGACTATTCAAAGCTTTCCATCTTCAAGCTTGGCAAGTCTTCAACTCCAGAAAGATCTGCCAAGTTACCTACGCTAGACTTCAGGTGGGTCTAGTATCATTTTTGGTTGGTCTAATTATTTTCTCAAAGTATATATCTTTAATGAAAAACTGCTTTGGGTTTGTGTTAGTAGGGATTAGAAGCACTGAAGGAGCATTTTAGGAACTCAAAATTTCCAAGGGAGATGGAGCAGTACGAGTTGCCCGTGGTGTTTTCGCCCCCACGGGACGGCATTCATCTGACGGAGCCTCTTGCCGTCGCCGGCAACATGCGTGTTGGCGGTGTTAATACATCAGCAGCAGATGAAGATGGCGGTGATGAAGGACGCCCATCTGACGCCGCCGCCACCGCCGCAGATCAGTCATCGGAGGTAGTGCAGTGTGGTGAGGGTGATGATGGAAATGAAGAAGACAGCTAGAGATCAGAAGATGGCGCTATGTGTCTGGCTTTCCACTACACGGTGGCACCTAACTGTACAAAAATCTCAAAGACAAAGCAAATGATGTAGCGTTGGAGGTCGGGAGCCGTCCTTATCTCGTCATACAAGGCTCGCCTCAGGTCACCCACCCCTCTTAACCGATTATCCATCACTTTCAACTCTCTCTCTCTCTCTCTCTCTCTCTCTCTCTCTCTCTCTCTCTCTCGTATGGGGGTTTCTTGGTTTTATGCTTTGTTTGTGGATCGCCCAGGTGAGAGAGAGAGATGAGATATGGTCTCTCTCCCTCTCTCTCTCTCTCTCTTGCATAGGGATTGAGGCGAGGGTTTGTTGATTTATCTATGGTGGTCGTGTAGATGGAACTGTCTGTTTTCTTTTTCTGTAATGTTTTCTTTTTCTGTAATGTTTTCTTTTTCTGTAATGTTTTCTTTTTCTGTAATGTTTTCTAGTGTATTTATCATATGTTTTAATTATATTAGTTTTTTAAAGTATGGTGGGATGACACTATTTTACAATATATTTATCATTTTATTTTATTTTATTTACATTAATATGGAAACATGTGGTTACAAGTGTGTGAGTTGGGTTATGACACATTAACATTATCTGTTAAATGTTTTTGAAAAAATGCGTAATTGTGATTGAATCTTTTAATTTAAGGTTAGGATTATAATATTCTCATTTAATTTTAAATCAATTTTTTAAAAACTAAATATAGTTAAGAATATACCACTTAACCAACCCAAGGCGCATTCGATTAAAGTTTTTCTGATTTTGTAATCAGTACATTGGGAATCAAGCAAAGACTGAAGGGATTATATATATAATAAGACGATAGTAATTTAGAACTTGAGGGGGTAAGAGGCCTCCATCACGATTCCACACAGACCTTCTGGATCTTCCACCCCACGTTTCATCCTTATGTAACCATCCTCTCCCCATCCAACGCCCCATGAGTTCCTCACAGTCCAGTAGTCTGTTCCGCCGTCGGTTGTTCCATAGCCGATCACCACCACTCCGTGATTAAGCTCTGTTCCACAATCTCCATCGAACACTCCCTGCAAATTACCCACACTTCCAATTTAACAATCCCTAGACATGGAAGGTTCTATGTGATACAAGCTATTACAACTTGCCTGCCAGTAGAATTGGAAATCTCTCCCTAGGGCCTCGATGGAGACTGACACTGGTTGGTTTGCGACGGCTTGCATCAGAGCATTCTCGTTTTCAGGTACGCTTTCGAATCCATCTATTGTCACTATTGGTGAAGGCATCTGTTAAACCATCATACAAATGTATGCTTAGTTTGATCATTTCTGGAAGGATGAACCGTATCTTTGGTTTGAATTTCTTCCCGATGTTCGATCAATTACAAAACTTACTCTAGATGAGCGGCAGGATCCTCTTGCGCCACGGTAGGGATAGTTGTTCTCGCTGGCGATTCCTCCATTTCGCCTTATGAAATTATAAGCGGTTTCCATGAATCCTCCATAGCAGCCTCTGTTTCTTGTGTTGCAGTCGAGTAGCTCCTGCTCTGATAGAGACAATAGTTGGTTGGTTTTGATTTGGTTGATCCCTTCAACTGCAGCCACAGCCGAAAACGCCCAACAGCTACCTGCGATACATTTCAAAATCATTGGTTATTTGTGGTTTCATTCTTATAGAGAGAACGCTCGAAAGTATTAAATGTTGATTTAGTAATCAACTTCTTTTTCCTCATCGTAAGCTCCAAGTTACCACATCTGCCTTGATCCTTGATGTCACTGACAGCTCCTCTTTCCCTCCAATCAATGAACGATGGAAGATCTGTAGCCTTTTCGTACATGAATCCACTGGCACCTTCTCTTCTCTTGCCATGTAACCTCCTGTAGTGGGTAATATTAGAGCGAGCATACACGTTCACAAACTCATAATTGGACATATCTGCGAATTTGTTCAGCTTCAACTTGTATGGTTTGTTCATCTGATTCACTGTGAGCACATGGTTCGCATTCTCTTTAAACACGTTGTAACGTTTATGCTTCTCCTTTAGTTCCCTGGAGATTGCATGGTGGTGACTCCACCTTTCATAGAGCTTCCATAGACTTCCATCTGTCGCTAACTCCTCCTCATCGAATTCAAAGCTCTTAGCCAATCCTGAAATTAGTACAATCAGAAATGGAACCAAAAGGCATTTGCTAATGGCCATACCGAATTGGAAAAACTCTTCAGTGTAGTTAGAGTAGTGTGGATAAGCAAGCTGCTGCTTGAATTGAATTGGCAATGCACTTCAGCTTATATAGACTTACATTTTAAAAAGTAGTCATGATCTCGTGAGATATCCTACTCAAGTATTTTTTTTTTTTTTTTTTTTTTTTATGGTAACAATAAAATTTGTGTAAATGGGGCTTGGTAGGAGATTGAAAGATTGGAATGTTATTGGATGAATTATTTCATTGGATTATTACTTAGGGAGTAAGTGAGATTATGAGTGACAAAGAATGTGTTATGAAACACGCACCACATGTAATCTCTCATACAATATAGACCACATATATATAAAATACCTTTTTTTCTAAGTCTTGAATATACGCGCGTGGTGGGTTGGGATTTTGATTACAACTTAGATTTCCAAACAGTTCAAAGCTTTCAGCCAGAAAATGTGGAAAGTGACTATGATGCTGGTGCATCATCACAATGGGATTTAAGTTTATATTATATTTTTTTTCCGGCTAATTACTATTGAAATAGCGGAACATGTTTGATTTGTTACTTTTGTTTTGTTTAATGTGTTAACTGTTGAGCATATAGAAGGCATTGATTATGTCATATTCCTACCCCAATTGCGATTGATGCCCTTTTAAATTTTTAATGCGGAACGGAAATCTTTTTCAGAAAACGGCAAAATACATGAATCTCTTGCCCTTCTCAGTATGCCATATTTTTCTCAAATCTCTTTCTGATTTCATATTTTTCTTTTAGTTCAACAAGGTGGGAAGATGGATCGGCTTTCAATACATATCTTCTGCATTCATTCATCTTGTTTGTCCCTAGTTAAGACTTCATTCTAAATATTTTTATTATGAAAGAGCTTAATTTATGATTAAATTAAACTCTTAACCCAACTCAAGTTGATAATTATAATAATTCATTTGAAAAAAAAAAAAAAAAAGGTTTTTTCTTAATGCTCTTTAAACCTAACTCTTTTGGTTCTTGCCAATTAAAATTGACCTTTTAATATTAACATGTTCGGATCTAATTTCTAATTGGATGATTTCAAAAATTGGTTTTCATTTGATCCCTAAATTAATAATTTAAAGTGTATTTAGTATAACTGATTGATAATTTTAGATAATCAAAAGTGTTTTCTAAAAAAAATCTTAAGAAACACTTGAGAGATACGATTATCTTTTTTTAAAAAAAAAAAAAATCTTCAAAAAAATCAACTTAAAATTGTCAAATTTTATAAAGAGAAAAAAAAAAAAACATATTTGTAATTAATAAAATTACTTTTAATATATTATGCACTTAATAACACAGGACGAATAATTAATCAATAATAGGAAAAATCATGCAGAAAAATACATTCCTGTTAAAATTCAGATGAGTTCAATGAAACCATGTTGGGATTACATGGCATACATACATTTCCAGGGTTTGGTAAAGTAGTTTCTCCCATACAGTTTGCAGCCCATATTATTCCCTCTCTATATATTATGTGTACCAATGAAACCATGCTATCCAGTTATGACAGGGATATTGCAAACTGTTTATGCAAATCCATCACATGATACACAATTATTTATGCTTTTGCATATGGATGATACAAAAGGAGGAACAGGATTATAACAGGGTTTTGATGATACGACCCTCCAGGACAGGAACTGACGGCCTATAAACTTCTAGGGTACTAGCAAACTACATAATTCCTCTACTACCTGTAATAACCATACTACATGATTCTTCTCAAGTGATTATGCAAATGCATCACAACTAGGAAGTCTTGTTGGGTCCAATCCCTAATGACCACATCAGTGTAGGAAGGTTGAACTAGATCTATTGTAGACTGAAAAATGATTCTACTTTTCAATCAAAATGGTCAAATAATTCCAACCTCGTTAGAATGACCATTTTTCTGAAGACATTCTACATGAAAAGACAGAAAGAAACAAGAAACTGTCATCCTACATGGATAAACAAAGTAGGTACTGAATACTCATCCAATGTAAAATATAAAGTTAGAAAACTTTTCAAGCATGTCAGGGATCAAAATAAGCATTCATTTATCTCAATAAGAAGCTAAAAGTAGCACAGAGTTATGTAGAGAGTCTTCCCCATGTTAATCAAGATTCAGATGCAATTTTTCAACAATTAAATTGAGCTCCATTGGAGGAAACTCTGCCCAACAAAAGCAACGTTTAGGTAGCTGCATTGGTATCTGATCAGGAAATTGATAACTCCAGAACCCCATGGAGTGTGGACGTATAAATTTGAGATAGAAGCAAGGAAGGTAATGAACACAACACTGAGTCAAGTAAATGAAAAGTTCAATTATTCAAACAGCAAAGCTCCAAATTGAAATGAGCATTGTTTACAATTTGATAACCAGGGAAGTCATAGAGATGAGTAATCAACAATTTATCAGCCAGCCCATTATCATTGTTCTAGAACAGACAATCGATACTCATAGAAATCTTAACTTATCGATTTGATACCGATAGCAGCAACAGAAGGTAGGGGAACGTCAAGCAAGAGAGTCCTTCTGTTTCGCTTGTTGCAGTAGCTCTTCTCTAACTCTTCTGATCTCAGCTTCCCTTTCCAATCTCTCTTTCTGAAACAGCAAAGAAGAACGCAGAGACACCTTAGTTATTTCTAATCACCAAAATTTCTACAAAAATCGCATAGATAAACTGCCGTAGATTTGCCCCCTAGGGTTTTGTTTTTTGTACTTAATTCATACTCTTCAACGGAGGAGCAGGCATCAATTGAAGAATGAAGAATAAAGGACTATGAAATGAGAAGTAGAAGAAAATTAGAGAAATCTGAAGGGAGGGAAATGGAGAGAGAACCTTTTCGTCTTGACGGAGAGCGATCCAAACATGGAGTTTATCCATTGTTTGCCAGAATACGAAGGCGCCCAATGACATTGCAAAGAACGTCGCCACTTTCACCATCTTCTTCTCTTCAACAAATTATAATTCGAGAAAGAACGAGGACGAGAACAAAGGGCGGGGGCAGGAGTTGGAGATGGAGTTCGATGATTCTACGGGGAAGGGAATAGATCTGTTCGAGAAATGATCTGAGGCTATGAGTCTATGGAAGCCGCATTTGCACCCTGCCTCCGGTACGTTCGATTTCGATGCGTTTACTAAATTATTATTATTATTTAAAAAAAAAAAGAAAAGAAATTAACACTTGAGATAAAATTTAAAAATGTTTTGATTTAATTCTTGATGCAATTAAGTTTGTTTGGAAAGAAGAGGGGTATAAATTGCGAAAAGAGGGAAGAAAAGAATTAATGAAGCCGATTGTTTGAAAGAAAAAAAAATTCATTAAACCTTGAAACATACATTAAAACTATTTAATAAAAGATAACGTAACACTGAAATATAGACTTCCATGCATCCATGGAAATTACATCTTTTTATTTTACGCAACAAAATCCACACTGCAAAGCCTTACTTACTATATATATAAGCAACAATTAATGAGGGCGGTTGGAAGTGTGCATAAGCTCAGTCTGTGCAGCAGCGGTACATGATGAACTTCTCCATGGCGCTGCCACATTCAGAGCAAACCACCTTCTCGGGAATGGTGCCATTGGAGGAAGGCAGAATGAGACGGTTGCAATGCTCGGGTGTGTGTATGGTTTGGAGGTCCTTGCTCATAGCAGGTATGAGTCCCAACTCCTTTGCATCATCCTTCCAACGCTTTTCGTACCCCTCCATCACCTTCATTATCATCTCGGCTTTGGCCCGAATGATGCTGGTTGAGCCCTTGCAGAACACCGCCCACCCCTGGTCCCCACTGTCGAAGCTCAGCATTGTCATTGTCTCTTGCATTATGGGATCTTCCTCAATTGTGTTTCCCCTTTGTGTTTTTGAGTACCACATGCTTTCCAGCCTTACCCAGAAGAACCATACTAGGGTCGGATCTGCCAGTGTGTGGATCGTTTTTTCTGCCAAGATTGCCGCTATGTTCTTCCTGATTCTCTCTCCCGGGTTGCTCTTTCCCACGTACAGTATCTCCATTTCTACTTCCGCGTCGTTTGCCACTTCTTTCACCTTTTTGCTGAAGCTTCTCACCCATTCCATGTCTTCCCCTCCGCAAATGCATATGTATTTCCCTGTTTCCATCTGAAAATTTACTTACACACATCAGCTTTAACTTCTTTAGCTTTAACTTCTTTAGCTTTAACTTCTTTAGCTTTAACTTCAACATAAGATAGATGAAGGGGGAATTGAGGTTACCCAGTTAAAGATGAGGGGCTCCACTGAGTCCACCAACAGCTCAAGTCTCCAAGTCTCTTCTTTCCACAGTGATTCCTCTCGAGCGCTTGTGAAGGGGTAGGCCAAGCTTCCCCAAATCCACAGCATATGGACGGCGTTGGTATTCACTACTTTTCCTTGAGGGTCCAAAACCACCAACAAAGGCTTCTTGTTGAAGTGCCACACTTGTCGTATGTACTTGATCACCGCCGATTCTATCAGGGAAGGATGTGCCACCGAGTACCATGGCATCAAATTCAGCAACCCTTCGAACTTGGCCTGTTTCTCATCTGTCCATGGGGACTCCACAATTGGCATCCAAACCACCTCGTAATCGCTCTCTGCTCTCGTTTTGTTCTGCCTTGATTCTCTGTAGATTTGGTCCAGCATTGAAAGCTCCACTGCGGAAAGGTCCAGGTCAGAGATGAGCAGCAGCACATTCTTCTTTCTCAGCACGTCCAGGGTAGCCTGGAGATATGATTAAACAAAATCCAGCTAAAGTTTTTAACAGAGTAGTAGTTCAAGAATTGCATTGAAACTGAAATAAAATATGTGGGGAAGTTCAGAAAAGGGGAAAGTGCACACCTTTTCCTTGCTTATACCATCGATGAGGGGCATCTTGTCATCCTTGGAGTAAATCAAAGCCCTGAGGATCTTGTTGTTGTCAAGGTGGGGTATCTCGAAAAGGCGGACCAGGTTCATATAAGCTTCGTGGTGCATCTTCTCATCTGTTTTGTCAATCACAAACGGGGAGAAGAGTTAACTCAAGTCTCCACTGTGTCTAAATCTCTGTTTATTTTCAATTTTAGAGAGAGCAACAGAAGCCTCACGTATGTACTGATGACAAGCTTGAAGCAGTTGTTCGAGGTGCTTGCGAATGTTGTCGATCTTATGGGCCAAACTTGAGAGCTCCCATGTCTCAGATGCTGATGCTAAGTACCTGATGGATTATTGGAGAAAAGAAACTAGGAATGTTTAGTGAGCCGAGTACAATGAAGTTAGATTATCAAAAGTAGGAGATGGTGGCATACTCATGGCCAACCCCGACAAGGCCTGTAATCTGCGCAGCGCAGGCGATAATGCTTCTGACTATCCAGTAAACAGCTGTTGGAATAAGAGTGGTTGCACTCTTCATTTCAGGTGTGTCGGGAGTAATGTAATGGGGAGGAAGCATTTTGAAATCCACGATGCACTTGGCCACACTGATGAGTGCCTTGATGAGTTTGTCAATTGCGTCAAATTTTTGCCTCACAATGTCGATTCTCTCGAATATTTCTGGGAGTTTTTTGAGGAGTGAGATGTCTTTGGCGAGTAAGTCAGATGAGGATTGGTGAACCAATAGCCAAAACTCTCCATAGTTGATGGAAAATGCAGCCAACGCCAGCACTGCCTTAGCATCCCATGGCCAGTTTGTTAACAAATTCAACACTTCCATTGTCACTGTATGGGGCTCCCCTGCTCTTGAACACTTGTACTGTATCTGTG